TATTTCTGTGAGTGTGTGTAATAATCAATATCTTATGGTATTTTTAGCTGCTTAATAATGCGGCCTAAAGATTGCCTGCACATCAATCTCGAGCCACTGTGCAGTGGACAGCTGCTGTACTCAGCTTCCGGTGTGCACGTACGTACGCATACATACACACACACAAACACTCACGCATACGGATATATATATATATATAATACATATATATGTACATATACTGAAACAACCTGCTCAACATGTTAATGTGCCAGAGCGTCCAGCTTGGAATCCCCCACAGCCGCTTGACTTCCATTAGTGGGCTGAGTGGGAGCATTACGAGCGCCGTAGTGGGCAGCTGGGAGGCATGGGATCGCTGTTGAATATGTGAAGCTTTGGGAGTGAGGGAGTAGTTCAGCTACGTGCAGCGTCCAAAATTGGTCGAGTCCAGTCGAGGCGAACTGCATAGAGTCTCGTCTCGTCTCGTCTCGTCTTGCGTCTCGCTCGCACTTTTGTTCCATTGCCACTTCGCCTTTCTCAAAAGTTCATTTTGCATTCTTCGCTCTGTCTGCTGCGCTGTGCCTCGCTCTGCTTTTATTTGATTTTATTTTGTTTCATTCATTTTTATTCCTTTTTATTTTTCTTGTTCTCTTTGGCTGCCATTTCTATTTGATTTCATTGCTTTTACCTTGGCCGTTGCTGCTCTTGTATTTCTACATAACATCTAGGTTTTTTTCTATCCGACTTTTAGGGGTTTTTGTTCGTTTTCATTTTGTATTATCCCCTGTGTGTGGCAGGTTGATACGATTGAGGTGAAAGCATAAAAAAAAAGAATAAATTCCACGGACTTTTGGGTATTTGCGGCTTATGGCCATTTCTACTTTTGACATTTGTTCTTAATTTTGAGAAGTATTTGTGTTTTAATATATGTACATATATATGCCCATGAATCAACAAAAATATATTTTTCTGAATTTAAGTTAAGAAAACTATTTTAAGAAATTATTGATCGATTTCTATCTTTATTATCTCAAGGAAATTAACCATATATTATTCATATGTATTTAATAATATTTTTTAGAATTATAAAATTATTTTGGCTAATGTTATAGCTTTTATTTATAGTTATTGTAAAAATCTTCTCAGTAGATGAATTTTTTAAGATTTCCTGTCATATTTTTAATATGAATATAATTTTTATATAGGGCAACTAAAATTCGATCATAGCTAATATGTGCATATATATATAATATCCATGTTTTTACTCTTGTATTTTTTTTTTTTTTTAACTTCTTAAAGAAATTTCATTAGCAACTGGTTGCTGCAAGGGGATTTCTTATCAATTTTATGAGCTCCGAGAGACGTGCACGAAATTGTATATGTATGTGTGTATATGTGCACGCTTATGAGTGAGCGCATGTATGCGGGTATGTCTGAGAGTATGTGTATGTATGCGTGTGGGCTGATATCAATAAAACCATAGCCAGACGGTCACTGCTATGAAATCAGAATCTAATTACAGAACCAAGTGAAAATCATTGTAAATAAGAATTCAATATAATAATATTTATTTATTAAAAAAAATAGCATATATATTTATAAAACAAAGCTTTTATGTACAATATAAATATATACACCAATAAAAAATAAAAGAAAAACATTTTCAATGGGTTCAGGGTATAAAAAACGTTTATATATGCATTAAAAACAATTTTTGTTTTACATAAATATTCCTCATTACATAGAACTTTATAGCTAAAATTAAAAAAAAATAGCAAACAATTTTATTAGGAATATCTGCAACACTTTTAAATTAAATAAATATTTACAAAGTATTTACTAAGATATAATTAAGTACAAGGCTTATAGCACGGTTTAGTTGTGCATTCTAAAAATAGAACAGGCATTTTTATCTCTGTGAGATGAGAAAAACGTTTTCTGATAACACATTTTGCAGTTAATTAGCTAAACAAATAATCTACATGATATTACTTAACAGGTGACTTTCACTCATTAAGATTAGTTTGGCTCTGGCTATAGTTCTAAACTAAATTTCATTTCAAGAAATCTTAAATTCGTATCAGTCTGCAGTTTGACATTTGAACTGATTAAACACTTAATAAGGCGAAGAGGAAGCAAATTAAAAGCACATGTCAAAGGCCGTAATTAATCGAGTTCATTGCCTGACCAGCACAGAAAGCTTGACAGGCAATAAGTAAAAAAGTTAAAAAAAGAATACAAAAACAACAACAGCAACAACAAGATCAAAAGGTAATGCAAAAAAAGCAATCCAAATGAAGTTGACGTTGATGACCTTCGTTTAAGGTTCAGTGCCGGCTGCGATTTATGCAACTGAGCAGGGAGGGGTCGTGTGAAAGAAAACACTGAAAAAAGAGTGGAAGAAGAAGAGCAGCAAAGACCAGGTAACTTGTAACTGACACCCTATCAAACAAGACCACCCACCCACCTACCCGTGTGCCGCTACCTCTATCTGCAGCCACAACCGCCCTGTGCGACTGTCACTCATGCAAATGACAGGTAATTGACCTCATAAAGCACAAATACACTCACACGCACACTCTCACACACACAGCTAAAGAGAGTGAGTGCAAGAGAGGAGTGAGTGGGCAGGAATGCAACAATTTTTACTTTCCATATATTATTTGATGTGTGAGCAAGTCCGTTGCCGTTCCAATTCCCCTTTGCACATTCTCTCTTTCTTCTATTCTTCTCTTCAGTTGAGTGTTGTTCTCTGTAGGCGTTTAACATTTCTGATCTTTATACCCTGACTATGTACACTATTATGCTGGCAAACATGTTACTGAAGCGAAACTATTTTTAGTTTTTATTCTTTTAGAGTTAATTTAATACTTAAAATTTTATAATTTAATATATTAGTTTATTCAAATTGCCTGTTATACTATTTACATTTATTTTCCAACGACAAAACGTGATGTTCTATAGGGTATTTTATATTCGCTGCAGCCAACTGCACTTCTTTTTTGCTCATTTTTTTACGTTTTTTGCTTTTCCCATTTAAGTGTAATTTTGTAACTTTTTTTTTAGACATTTGTCACGTTGCTTTGTACGTGAAATTGTAAAATGTTAATGTGCCAGACGAGCGGCAACTTATTCTTTTTCCGCTGGGGTCGCTTTAAGTGCGCTGCTATGTGAAGAGAGGAGAGCAAAAGAGATGGAAGGAATACTATATTCGGGAGCCAACGGGAGTGAGTGAATATGTGTATGTGTGTTTGTGGGTGTGTGAGTGTGTGTGCCTATAACTTCTGCTTACACTTAACATATGGATGCATGTATGTATGTAGGTGTGGGTGTTTGCAAAACGCGCAATTACGATTAATTGCATTTGATAAAATGCCATTAAAAAAAGTAAAACTGAAAATTGTAACATGTCGTCTTCAAGCAAATCCGCCAGTCGAGTTTGATTTTATTGCACACAAAATGCTCAATGATAAGAATGAAAAATTCTGTTTAAAAAAATTGCTTTCTCTTAGAACTATTTTATTTCGCAACGTTTCCGATTCATTTGGCATTCAACAAATGTGCCCCCAAAATGGTGATATATTTCAACAGCTTAAACAACAAGAAGTTGAAGAGGAGAGGAAGACGAAACATGCAAGCTAATTCCAAGCGCCATGAATTTATGAATTTCATGCGTGTTTATCAGCAAAACATGCCGCTGGGCCTGGTCCGAGTACCAACAGCAGCAAGAACAACAACAAGAGCGATGCCAACAACAATTGTTTGTGATAGAACGTGTAGGCAAATCGAGCGGCCAAGCAACAAGCCAAAGCAATGCCAACAAAAAATCAAGAACTGAGGGAGAAAGCGCAAGAGCAGGAGAGAGTAAGCGCGTGAGTAAGAAGCTAGTGGGAGTGGGAGTAATAGCATAAGAGTGTGAGTAACAGCTTAAGTGAGAGCGTGAGCGAGAGCTGAGAGCGTATGGCACGAGCACAAATTAGAGAGCGAGCAAGTGCATGGGCGTTTGCGTTTGTATGTGTGTGTATGTGCTTCAGTGAAGCAAAGCTCAAAAGCGAACAGGCGCAAACGAGGCGTGAAAATCACAAACAAATCATAAAAAGAGCAACAACAAGAAGAAACACGACTCACTGTAAGCAGAGTAGTGTAGAACATAAACATTTATACATACCAACCAACAAACATACATACATACATACATACATATGTATGTATGTATGTATATGCAAATCAAGCGAAACAAAAGCGTTGAGCAGGAGCGGATTCTAGGAAGAGGGGAGTGGGCGAAATGATTCATGGTCGTGTTTATCAACAAACACGTTTCATGAGTGGCCTCAGCTGCGCTCAGCTGCCAAAAGGAAGCTAAATGCTGGCCATGCGACGGCACACACAACACACGCACACATGGCAGAGTCCGCAATTTCACAATGCTCACACACACACTGACATTTGTGTGTATAAGACATGTGCCACACATATGCATGCGATACTGGAGTTCGGACTGAACCGTAGGCAAGGCAAGTGCAGTGGAACTTGACACATGTTTCAAATGTCATTTCGTTCTGTCATACATAAATATCACGCATTTTTCTATACACACACACACACTCTTTCTATACTTACACACATGCATATGTGTACATTTAGAAATATATGTATGTATGTATGTATATGTAGCTGCTTCTAATCAAATGCAGCTGACGTTGTTTGAACTGTAGCCCGAGCCCGATGCAGCTTCAATTTTAGAGTGGACCTCATTAATCAAAAAAGGGAATTCAAGTTATGATTTTCAAAATGTAAATTAATATTTTATAATATTTTATTAATTAAATTATAAAATATTAATTTTCATTTTGAAAATCATAACTTGAATTCCCTTTTTTTATTAATGAGGTCCACTCTAAAATTGATATATATATATATATATATA